TCCCCATTTCTTCCATGACGGCGCTCGTTTACGGATAAATTTACCTAGACAATCTTCGAAATATTTACGAGGGTAGTCCTGCAATCTCAGGAGTCATTTCAAGGTGAGTAGTCTTAGACCTACGAGTCCCACATCCAATGTCATTGTGTAAATCCTGTGGAGGCAGCATATGACGACAGCCTTTTTCTGTGGGACAGGTGAATAGGAGCTGAAGTCCTGGATCGTTCTAAAGGTGAGTTCTCCCTTTTTCCAAACTTCTCTAAAATACTAGTTGCAAGAATTATAAGCAAATCCAGTTCAAACAAGGTTGGGAATACAGTGTTTTAAGAAATGATCATGCGATCCTTTGATTTTAAAAAATGATTTGGAATTGTAGGCTTGGTTACAAAGTAAATGAAAATCGACGAGGTCTAGCAAACGAGAAATCGATGTAGAGGCCAAAAGAAATTAGACAAATCGGTTGATGGCCGCTTCATCGATTTGCCGATTGGTTAGAAGTTACAAAGTTTTTTTATTTATTTATTTTTTTCTTCGGAATAGATCAACGGAGAATAGGGTTTTAGGGTGGGATTTTCGGAAAAGGAGAAAAACAAGAAGCAAGAAATCAATCAGTTGTTATGCGGATAATACTAAATTGCAAGGAATGAGAATCCAGTCTTACTTCCTCCTCACTCCGCTTCTCCACCTGACCCCCCCCCTTTTTTTTTTTTATTAACAGAAAACATGAAACTGCGGATTCTTCCTTCTTCCGCTTTTTTATTCCTTTTTTCATCCCCCCTTTCCTCCTTTTTTTTTTTTTTTTTTTTTTTTTAGAAGATTGAATTTTGAACTCTCACATGATCAGAAAACGTTCGCCATGCATTGAGTATGTAATCTTCACAAAAGATATTCTAGCCAAACAAGTTGATGAAGCCTTATTTAAGAAAGAGGAAGAGAGTCAAGGAAGAGAAGGAAGGAGGCTGAAAATAAGATAATGCGATAAGCAAAGGACGAAAGAAAGGTTGGATAACTAAATATCGACTATTCAATAGAGCTAAAGATTGCCCAAATGAATGAATGAGTGAGCATTTTAAGTCTGAGGCAAATTTATTGCTTCTTGAATAAGATTGACTCTGCTCATATGGTTAAGGAAGGTGGGGAAGGAGTAAAGAATTCGGCAGGCTTTCCTATCCTTTAGAATTTTACTGCTTTCCACTTTTTTTTTTTATTATTATTATATTTTACTGATTCCTTAAGTAGGAGTATACTTGCTCATTAGGGTTCAGATGCAGAAGGGAAGCATGGCGAAGAAAACAGAGGCGAAAGATTCGTGAAATTTGGTTTGACTTAATTTCCAATCTCCTTTAAAATGTCCTTGCTCTCCCCCCCTTTTTTAAGCAGAGAAACCTCAAACTTAACCAAGTAAGAGCGTAAAACATAGTTAAAACATCTCAGAATGCAAATTCATTACAAATGCAAAGGTTGATTAAGTGACAGGATCCTGTCAAAAGGAGGGTGGAAGCGAGAAAAAGAAAAGAGTGGGTTTGAAGAACATGATATAGAAGGTAAGGATGTGGAGGAGGAGGAAGAACATGAACCAGAAGGAGAAGCAGATACTAAGACTTCTGCAGATGCTGCGCTTTTTCCGCGTTCTTGGTGTCTTAGGAGAGGCCGGAAGCCTCGTAGCAGAAGGTACGGGGGGTTGTTGGGGAGGGTGGGAAGAAGATCTGAGGGTAGGGTGAGGAACGAGAAGAAGAGATTGGACGGGAAGAGGCGACTGGGGAGGGGGAGAGTCTGGGGCAGAGGCATAGTCTGAAAGACGACTAGAGCGTCTTCTACGAGAGGAGGAAACATTAGTTTTCTTCTGCGGAGCCATGATCCAAGAAGGTGAAAGCACGAGTTTCTGTCTTCGATCTAATGGTCAATCTGGGGAATGTCGGTAACGAGAGATGAGAAGGATCTCTAGGGAACACAAGAGTTGGCCGGAAAACGGGAGCAGCGTCAAACGCAACGTTCTTGAGAAGCCTGAACCAAGGCCCTAACCCAGTAGTGAAGAGGTCATGAAGAAACAAGTGGGAGTAGTCTTCCTTAACCAGATGAGCGAAAAAACCTCTGAAGAAGAAAGCCAGAGGTGAAACGAAGCCCGGTTCAAAACCCAACGAAGGTAGATTTTATGCCAGACTTAACAATCCGGAGTTAACAAAGTATCTGACTGAATCATTTCGAGTATTTGCAAAATAAAGCATGAAGCAGTAGAACGGGATCTTCAAATCATGAGCGTGCTCCTCCTTGAAAGTAGCAAGGGCTACCTGAGCAGGATCCTGCTCCTCCGAAGGCAGCAGGGCAAGAGATCTTGTGCCGACGAAGAAAAGCAAGGCAACAAGGTTGGTGAAGAAGGAATGAGAAAATTGCTCTGCCGCCTGCTTCCTCCTTAGAAAATAGAAAGAACTTCCTCCGTTATGAAAAATAGCAAAAGTTGCGTGTTCAATAAACTCCTCCAGGTCCGAAAGAACGAGAGGAGAGCCGAAACGAGCATCCACGTAAGAGCTCTGAACCCTAGCAAAAGAGCGAGGAATGACTAATGGTAGCTTCCAGAGGTGCAAGGGAAGCAAAGTAGTTGTTGGGGGATCGAAGATGAAGACCCTTCTGAGAACATCGTCCGCTGAGACCTGAGGTATGGGAAAATGCTGAGAAGTTGGGGAGATGAGAGAGTTGAATTCAGACAACTGATCGTTCTCCTTGATCTCGACATTCGATTAAACAGTAAAATTGGAGGGAAAAAATGAATTGAGAAAAAAGTCAAAAAGGGGTTCAGAGGCGGTTGAGAAGAAGAGGGATTAATGGAATCTAAGTTAGGAGACTGAGGAAGACAAGAAGGACGAGAAGAAGACGGAGAAGAGAGTAGAGGAGGAGGGGAAGGTGGACGATTTCCGGGTCTGCATGCCGAAAGGTTCATGACTTGGAAAAACACTCTTACAAGAACAAACTGACCTTCGGATTTAGGAGAGAGGACGACCGACGAACAAAGACCAGGACGACAGACAGTAGTCAACAGGAGAGGTAAGGCTAAGAGATCCCCGCAGGCTACGACAATAGAAGAAGCCCCTGGTCGAAATTGGCGAGACAGCATGACTTTCTCCTTAGATTCTTCTGACCGAACGTGAACTTGGATGGCGTGCAGGTTCGCGCACGCAATGATGGCTGCAACCGGGCGACCTCAAGACAGGGCAGCGCGAGAATCCTTGCAGCCTGCCTCCTGCAGTCCAATGTTCGTCACTTATACTATAGCTGGCTGTGGGAGTGGTATCGGAAGAACGAACGAGGTCCAGCTCCATCCCGGGTGAGTCCCAGGTCCCAAGAGTCCTAAGTCGTAGACCGTAGATGTTGGGGAAGAAAATTGCAGGCTACAGATGTTGGCTAGTCAGTCCGCATGAGAACGAACCAAGAAAAAAGAGAGTCCAGGATGCCGAAAATCGTCGATAAGGAATAAAGTATACGGAGAGACAAAAGTCATATCAGTCCCGGTAAGTGTCGAATTCCCAACCGTGAAGAAAAACCACAGGCCCCAAAACAAATGGCTTGGTAGTCGTTGAAACTGAAACCAACCAGAGAGTCTGAAATGGAACAAATGTTATGCCATCAATCACGCACCCGGTTGCACACAAAACGAACCAAACAGATTCAACGGAGTCACCATCCTCGGAACTCATCATCCAACAAACTTACAGCGGTTGGGAATTAGTTTCGAACCATACACTTTTGGGACTCACGACTCGCAGCCGTAGATCTAACACATCTAGGGCGTACAGTCAAGTTAGTCAAATCCAGTTTGTGGATCCACGACGAACAATCAGCCACTCAGCATCTACGACTACCAGGATTTGGCAGGTCAACTCACCCTGGCTGAAGCATGCCTGCTCGTCCGGTCCCGCTGCCCTGTCTAGCGACGGTATAAGTTATAGGTGATTGTCCAGACACAGCTTGAATAGCTTGCAAGCCCTCCCGAGTTGTGCCTTCCAGGCCCCGACCGCTCGCAGCGTTCATTGCAAACGCAAACCTGCGCGCACGCCACTCAAGGGTTAGGTCCTCAGAGGG